CCCCAAAACCCCAAAACCCCAAAACCCCAATGAAGAAAATAAATATGAAGCTTTGAGCTATTTAAGTCTTAGTAAGATTATATAAGATTATCACATTTGTTATAATAATTCTGGCTTTTATTTGTAGGTTCCTGTTAACACATTGAAATTACCTCTTGCTCTTTGCGAAGCTCTGTGATATGTCATATCATTTAGTTTTGGCATTATAGAATCATACTTTACTGGGGAATTAAGATTGCCATACTTTAAGGACTCTCTATTCTTTATATCATTGTCAACTATCTGATGATTTCTACCTTGTTCAGTAGTAGGAGCCATTGAAAGATGTTTGTAAGATCTTTCCAATTCCGGTTGAGAAGAAGACCCGTTTAAATATCTATTACTGGCATTGGTATCAGACTCTGATCTCACATATGTGTTTGGGTCTTTTATAGTATGAATGCCTGCTTAAGAGTTAACTCCAGCCATTTGTCTATCTCCATGAATCATATTCTCAGCATTTAATTAGAGCGAGCTTCTTAAAATTGTCTTTGAATAATCATGCTTTAAACCATTTTCATTTGGTGTCACACTTGTGTACATATCTTCATAAGCATCATTTCCATAATTTCTAAACCTAGTTCAAGTGAATGTTAAATGATTATATTTTACTCATCAGGTATCAGATTATAGTCAATTCCATTATTACTTTGCTACCCTTGGTTGGCAAGATTCTATCTTGATGCAAGCTTACTTCTTTCTTGATCATTTACTCTATCTTAGTAGTTATATTATTGCTGAGGCTATGATTGCTACTATCTCTGAGGTGAACTCTATTTAACTAATTCAGCAATTCTCTCCTTATCCATTCTATCTATACTCTCCTACATTCTTCTGTTATTAACCTTTTCCTACTCTTTCTGGTACTAATTAATCTAACTGTAATTCTTCATGTAGTTAGTTTAAAACGTTGTCCCAAGATTACCTACTCCAGATGTCCCGCTTAGACCTCCACTTATATCATTATGACCCCTAAACATAAGATCCATATCTGGTTTGAATGGCTTTGCAAGTTACAATGCTTTAAGCGCATCTTTGTTTGGAGAGTAATTCGCTGCATATGAGGTTTAAAACTGAGGATTAAATGGCTTTTAGATTGATGAAATGCCTTTAACTGTTTGTGGGAAAAGGTTAGGACTCGATTAGGTGTTGTATTTGTTTACATTAAGCATCTCAAATTTTTGTTTGGTTAGACTTTCATCAAGCTACTACTATGATTGTTGATTCAGTACATCATCACTTTCATTTTTGTAGGTTTTAGAGAGACCTGTTTAATTTCCTGCATATATGTTTTAAGGAATGTGCAACCCATAAGATTTAGGCTTGGCACCTTGAATATCATCAGTTCTCAACAATCTAGCCTCATATGCTCTAAAATGCTCATTGCTATTATTTCCGTTTTGCAGGTCAATTCCTCCATTTAGTTATCTGTAACCTGCGGGAAGCATCTGATTTGCATTCTATACAATGAATTTTAGTAATCCTCTTAATTTACATGAGTTAAGTTGGACTAAAGGTTTAACTTTTAAGTTATCTCATATTAATCAATCTATTATTACTCTTTTTACAGAAGTACATCTGGTCTTGCTCCGGTATACTAAAAAATATCATTATTAATGCAAAGATTACCCCCACTAATCTACGAGGAACTGCACCGTCAATATCATCAACATTAAGAGTATCTCTGCCGCCTCTTAGACTAGATCTCAATCCATCGTATGATCCAGGCAATCCACTCAAAGTCTTGTAAAATTAAATAACGCTTAAATAGAAGTTACAGCTGATTGATTCCCATAAGATCTTTTAATCCCACCTTGATTGTTGCTCATTTTAAAGTTTATTAATTTATTATTGCTAATCTTTTTAGATCATTTCCAAATAGGGGTTTTGGGGTTTTGGGGTTTTGGGGTTTTGGG